AGGAAGGAGCCTCCCCTGGAGTTGTCAGGGAGCGGGTCCCTGCTGACACCTTCCTCCACTTTGGACTTCTGGTCTCTAGAGCTGTGAGAGACTAAATGCCTGTGGTTTTAAGCCACCTGGTTTGTGTCACTTTGCTGTGGCAGCCACAGAACCTAATACACCCAACTAGATAAGTATCTTTGTCACAATTACAGGAATCTTTATTTTATCCAAAAACAAAAGACACCGAACTTCAGTGTACATTCCAGGCCTGCTGATTATAGCTGGTCTATAAGCTCGTGTCGGGGTCTATGGTGGTTAATTTTTGTGTCCTTTTGACTGAGCCACGGGATATTTGATCAGACATTATTCCAGGTGTTTCTGTGAGGCTGCTTTTGGATGAGTTTAACATGTAAATCAATAGATGAGTCAAGCAAATCGTCCTCCTCAATGCAGGTGGGTCTCGTCCATGCAGCTGGAGGCCTGAAAAGAAGGAAAAGCTGATGATCTTCATGTAAAAGAGAACCCCTCCTACCCGACTGCCTTCCAACTGGAACACTGGCTTTAACTGAACAATCAGCTCTCCCTGGGCTTGGGCTTTGGGATTCAGAAGCACACACTGGCTGTGCTGGGGCTCCAGCTTGTGGACTACCCTGCAGATAGACTGTGGGACTCGTCAGCCACCATCGTCCTGTGAGCCAGTTTTACACAGACACACACACACAGTCACACTCTCATGCTCACACACACTCACACACAGTCACAGTCACACACATATGCACACACACATTGACACACAGACTATTACACACATTCTTACACACTCATTCACACACTCACATATGCGTGCGCACAAACACACACACACACAATTGGTTCTGTTTCTCTGGATAACCCTGATGAATTCAGGATCTTAAATGTTACCTATTTCATTGTAATGCTGTTTTCTAGCACCAGGCTAGTCCTTTTGTCAGCAAAACTGGTAGGCACTCTTTTTTTTTTTTTTTTTTTTTCCCAGACGTGTTTTTTTGGTTTGTTTTGTTTTGTTTCCATTTTTAAAAAAGCATTTCTAAACCAGGGCAGTGAAGCCTGACGCTACTGTTCACGGTCAGTGAAATGAGCATTCGAGGATGGGACTCGGCCTGTCTGGACAGGTCCCCAGACAAAAACGCAGAGAATCAAGAACCCAGGCGCTCCCTGGGCTGTGGGACAAGAATCTCAGCGCTGGCGGTGGGGCTGCCCTGAGGGTTCGAGGCCTGGCTCTTCCTGCCCCACTACCTGCTGTGTAGCTCAGTGGCCAGGCCGCCTGCGCCCACCCCCGGGGGGCACGCCCAGCCCAGGGTGGGGGTGCAGCTTGCCCCTTGCGGACCAGCGGGGCCTCTGTTATCTCGCTCCAGATCCGACATCGCCAGCCAAGACCTTCCTCCTGGAGCCCTCCGGCTGGACAAGAACGCTCCTCGGGGCGCCTCCTGCCATCTGTGGGCGGCATTGGGAACTGCGGCCAGACTGCTTAGGAATCAGGACGTCCCAGCTCCCAGCCTGCGGTCACTGATGCCCTCAACACACACTCTGGGCCGCCCGCCTGGCTGCGGGCACTGCTGTAGGCACTCGCGGCCTGGCCTGGCTTCTGTCCTGCCCACCTCTCAGCCCATGCTCAGTAGAAGCCCAGGGACCCAGCCTTAGGGAAACAGAGGCAGCATGATGCAGGGACCCGGCCTGCCCTCCAGGGACTCGGGAAATAGGAGTTGTTGAACATTCTGAAACATTCCTGTTCCATTAATTCTGCAATTTTCTTCAGAAATACACTGCGCACACGACTCAGCTTATCAGCTTATCCTTCACCCATAGGTAGGCTTTTCTTTCCAATCAATTTTATCTTTGTTTTTTTCTAGGAAAATTTTAGGGATTTTGTTTGTTTTGTTTTGGGGTTTTTTGGTTGTTTTGTGTGGGGTTTTTTGGTGGGAGGGTTGGCTTGGTTTGGTTTTTGTTTGATTTTTTAATTTTAGGAATTTTTAAAAAGCCAGCAGTCCTTAATCTTCTGATTGTTGTGTGACTGTCGTATAATATTAAGAAACACATTCCTGTCATCCACAACTAAGAACCATTAATATTGTGTCATAATGTTTACTTTTTGTTTTTAACAAAATTTTGCTTTGGGGAAGTATCCACGAAGATACAGTATAGCTGTGAGATATTTCCTACACCTGCTGTGTAACACCTCTTCATGTAAAACACACGGCACGTGGTTTATCCACGCCCCCCCCCACCACCCTTGCATATTAGTGGTTTCCGGTGTTAAAGGGACAGTCCCCTCCACATGCATTTCTCCAGGTACTGAGGCAGGAGAATAGGGTCTGGAGGCAGGGAACCTAAGGCTGGTCACCCCGACTTCCTAGAACTAAATTGAAAGGAAAACCCTAACTTTCCACCCCTAAGTAACCATAGGACCAGAGGCTACTCCATTTCTAAACCCCCCACCTTTTCTTTGAGGCAAATGGTAAATTGGCTGCCGCAACCAATCAGACTGATTGTGGGTGGAGTCTTCAATTGCAACTTTGTAACTTCTCTCAAGCCTCTGAATGCTTGCTATCCACAACGAATCAGACTGATTGGGGGCTGAGTCTTCTCTTGCATAAAAGTATAACTTTGTAGCTTCACCCTAGCCTCTGACTGGTTGCTTTAAGCACCTTCATTTACATGAGGTGAGCAGGAGCGGCCAATGGGAAATTTCTAGGGGATATTTGGACCCAAGAAGATCCTATATCCAGGCCCTTGAGCCGCTGCTCGGGTCCGCTTCCATACTGTGGAGTGTACTTTGGTTTTCAATAAATCCCCGCTTTTGTTCTTTTGTTGCTTCATTCTTTCTTTGCTTTGCTGGCGCTTTGTCCAATTCCTTGTTCAAAACGCCAAGAACCTGGACAAGTTGCAGTTATGACCCTCGACTCGTGATGGTAGCACTCGTTCCTAACAGCTTGGCTGCAATAAGCCTAGGCTTTGAGGGAGAGCCTCTGCACCTGCGGCTGTGCTGCTTGTGGTCTCTCAGACAAGGACGCATAAAAAGGGCTGCCTTTTTAAAACAGCAGGGGAAGGAAAACACAGTGATAACAAATCCAAATGTTACTTCAATTGAGATCTTATACATCATATACACAACCATTTAAAAAATGAAAACAAATATAATAAAATTAAATTAGATTCAATAAAAAGAGCAAGGTGCAGGCATTTACATAATGAGACCCACTTCTGTCAACATATTATATAGTCTGTAAAAGCAAAAGATGTGAAGCACCCCAAGTCCCTATGGATGGACGGTGGTTGAATTATTACCACTCATGCACAGAAAAGACCACAGTGCAAGTGTGAAAATGGGAGCAGGACAGTGTCTACACGTGCCTCTGGAGTGATTGCACAGACCACTCAGAACAGACCAAGGTGGAGGAAATCTTCCATTTTTCCAGTACAGGCAGGAAACAGGGACCCATCTGTCTGTTTACTCTCTTTACTCCCATTCATCTATTATCTATCTACGTTTCTACCATTCATCATCTACGGTACTACCTACCTACCTGCCTACCTGTTATCTATTATCTGTCTACCATCAATCAACCTATCTCTCCCTATCTGCTTACATTTCAAAAATAAACAGTGTGAGCAGAGTCCACAGTGTGTGTCCAAGGATACCTACAGAAAGAGGGCTGGAAGGCTCTGGGGGAAGGCGTAAGTCCTTGTTGCACATACCCTGTTTTCTAGATTTGACTATGAAACCATGCAAATATTTCACGTCCTTATAAAACACAATTAACTTTAAAAAGCAATTTCTAAATACCAAAAATAAAATAAGACAAATGAACTAAATGTGTATCCATTTGGTAGCTTGACCAGCCAGACGGGAGCTATTCCAATTGACTTTAAAACATAGGAATTTAAAAGTACTGAGAGGTGACAATGTGCTAGCAGCCCTCACTCTCAGTGCCTCCTCAGCCTCAGTGTCCACTCTGGGGGCGCTTGAGGAGCCCTTCAGCCCGCCACGCGTTGGAGCCCCTCTCTGGGCTGGCTGAGGCCGAAGGTGCCTCGCTCTGCTTGTGGGGAGGTGTGGAGGGAGAGGCGCAGGTGGGAACCAGGGCTGCGCACGGCGCTCACGGGCCAGCGCGTGTTCTGGGCGCGGGCGCGGGCCCGGGTCCCGCACATGGAGCGGCCGACTGGTGCAGTCAGCCCAGGGCAGTGAAGGGCTTAGCACCCGGGCCAGCAGCTGCGGAGGTTGGGCCGGGTGCCCCAGCAGTGCCGGCCCCCGGCGCTGCACTCAAATTCTCGCTGGGCCTTAGCTGCCTCCCTGCGGGGCAGGGCTCGGGACCTGCAACCCACCATTTCTGAGCTCCTCTCCTGTGGTGAGCTCCCGCGCCAGCCTCCCCAACGGGGGCCGCCCCCTGCTCCGTGGCTCCCGGTCCCATCGACAGCCCAAGAGCTGAGGAGCGCTGGCGCCGCTCGGGACTGGCAGGCAGCTACGCCTGCAGCCCTGGTGCAGAATCCACTGGGTGAAGCCAGTTGGGCTCCTGAACTGGATGGGGACTTGGAGAACTTTTATATCTAGCCGGAGGCTCCTATGTGCACCAATCAGCACTCTGTATCTAGCTAGTGGAGACTTGGAGAACTTTTCCGTCTAGCACTCTGTGACTAGCTCAAGGATTGTAAATGCACCAATCGGCACTCTGTGTCTAGCTCAGGGTTTGTAAATACACCAATCAGCACTCTGTGTCTAGCTCAGGATTTGTGAATACACCAATTGGTACTCTGTATCTAGCTAACCTAGAGGAGACTTGGAAGACTAGCACTCTGTGACTGTGTCTAGCTCAAGGATTGTAAACGCACCAATCAGCACTCTGTCAAAACGGACCAATCAACGCTCTGTAAAATAGACCAATCAGCTCTCTGTAAAATGGACCAATCAGCAGGATGTGGGTGGGGCCAGATAAGGGAATAAAAGCAGGCTGGCCCCCCCCCCCGCTAGCCAACGGCAACGTGCTCATTTAGTTTCCTGTGTGTGGGAGCTGTGTAGCTGTGTGTTTTTGCTGTTTGGGTTGGTGCTGCGTTTAGAAGCTTGTAACACTTCTGAAGCTGGAATAAACTACAAACCCACCAGGAAGAAGCAGCAACTGCGGACGTACTGCTTTTAAGAGTTGTAACACTCACAACGGAGGTCTGTAGTTCTTTCCTAATGGTGAGACCACCAAACCCACCGGAAGGGAGAAACTTCGGACACATCTGAATGACACACCGTCTTTCAGAACTGTAACACTCAGCGGGAGGGTCCCTTGCTTCATTCTTGAAGTCTGTGAGACCAACAACCTAAATCCAAGCACATTTTGCCAACCACGAAAGGACCATTGGATATCGCCATACGGTGAGGCACTGCTGGTGGAAAATACACTAAAGACAAAAAGAACAAAGAAAAGGGTCAGAGGGAGACAGGTGGTGGGTGGTGGGTGCGTGCGGAGGAAGGCAGGCAGACGTCTTAATCCCTTTCTTACAAGCACTTTGTTGACTGAGTGTTGGTGTTATACTGAGACTGCCTTGTGTGTGTTGAAGGGTAGAGGAAATGTGATGTGGAATCTTACTAGCTGTGTGGTAAAGGATGGAGATTTTCAGCATGAAAAATAAAAGTTAAGGAGCTGTAATTTAAAAAAAAAAACACTGCCTAGGCACAGTGGCTCGTGTCTGTAATCCCAACATTTTGGGAAGTGGGAGGGTCGCTCAAGCCCAGGAAGTAAAGACTGGCCTGGGTAACAGACCCCGTCTCCCCATATAACAAAATTAGGAAACATAGTGGCATGTACTTGTGATTCTGGATATTTTGGAGGCTGAGGTGGGAGGACTGTTGGAGTCCAGGAGTTTGAGGCTGCAGTCAACCATGATCACAACACTGCACTCCAGCCTGTGCAACAAAGTGAAACCTTGTCTCAGAAATCATAAGGCAAGGAAAATATTAGTACAAAGTAAAATAAACATGGATAATGCAAGCGTTCTATTGGACTCATAATGTAAGTGCATATTTGGGGGACTTGTTCCTCCAAACAGCAATGCTCTCTTCTCTACACTTTATGCCAGCTAATTTTACGTAAATGGGAAACTTCTGCCAAAGCGAGCTGCACTGTGTTTATTGGGGTGAACCTTTAGAGAGAGAGCCATTCTGAAAATGAAAGGGGAGCTGCATTATTCAAAGTTTACCTACAGTTTTAAAAAATGCCTATTTCCTCCCTGTTTTTTCCCACTCTCCAAGCTTATTAGTTAGCAATGGATATGCTTAATTTTTTCATGACTTAATTATTTTTGCTATCAATTTTAAAGGTCAGCAAAACACTTACTTTTCTATAACAATATATCATTTTAGAAGGGTACAGAGTTGCAGTTACATAGGACGACTGAGTCTAGAGATCCAGTGCAGAGCCTGAGGGCTGTAGTTAAGAATTCTGTGCTGTACCCTGGAAATTTACCAAAAGAGATTTCAAGTGCTGTCACCACAAAACATAAAAGGCAGCTGTGGGGAGGTGGACATGTTCATTTGCTTGACCATAGTAACCTTGCTATGAGTATCTGTATCAACACGTCATGTTACACAACGTAAATGTTTTGTTTTTTTTTTTTTTTTGAAACGGAGTCTTGCGCTTGTCACCCGGGCTGCAGTGCAGTGGCATGATCTTGGCTCACTGCAACCTCCGCCTCCCGGGTTCAAGCAAGTCTCCTGCCTCAGACTCCCACATAGCTGGGATTACAGGTGCCAACCACCACGACCAGCTAATTTTTGGATTTTTAGTAGAGACGGGGTTTTACCATGTTGGCCAGGCTGGTCTTAAAACTCCTGACCTGATGACCCACCCACCTCTGCCTCACAAAGTGCTGGGATTACGGGTGTGGGCCACCGTGCTTGGCCACCATTTTTATTTTTAAAACGATAAAATACACTGCTGACCCAAGGAGAGAATTGAGATGATCATGCAAATAATTATGCATACTATATTTGGGAAAAGTGAAAGTTATGAAACAACAGGTCCAAGTTATATATGCAACTGTGTAAAATACGTTCTTTAAAAATCAGGGTTTCTGTGCTTTCAGCAACCTGCACGTGTTCTGACTTGTGATCTCAAGGTCTGAGAGACGTGTGTGGTGAAATCACACCCACCTACCCCAGCAGAGGGGCCACTGGATGTACCCGTGCGCTGCAGGAAACTCGGATGAAAGGTACCTTAACGTAACCTTTACGTTAGAGTCAAACATGTCTTTATGACTGCTTATCTGAATTGTAATTTAAAGCTTAAGCGAAGTATGGCATTTAAAGGCTCGTTTTTAATTTGTTAAAAGAAAAGTCAATATTAAGATTGTGGCTCAAGTCTTAAGACCTATCTAGTGGGAAGCAGGATTAGATCAAAGGTTTGACCGTGAAGCACACGATAATTTTTATTTTTATTTTTTGAGACAGAGTCTCTGTTGCTCAGTGTGGAGTGCAGTGCTGTGGTGTGATCTTGGCTCATTGCAACCTCCACCCCCTGGATTCAAGCAATTCTGCCTCAGCCTCCTTGGTAACTGGGATTACAGGCATGTGCTACCACGCCCAGCTAATTTTTTAGTAGAGATGGGGTTTCAACATGTTGGCCAGGCTGGTCTCGAACTCCTGACCTCAGGTGATCCACCCACCTTTGCCTTCCAAAGTGCTGGGATTATAGGTATAAGCCACCGCACCTGGCCAAAATTTTAATTTTTTAAAATGTTATTCTTGGATTGCCTTTCCTCCTGTTTACTTTTATTTACACTGTGTATGTACATGCACATGTGTGGATGTGTGAGGATGCACTGTGGTCATGGGTGTGTTGAAGGTCGAAAGAATGAGGGTCGTGACCAACTCGACATACCACTGGGGAGGGTATATGAGCAAACAACCAACTCACGCAGGCAGGTTGTTGGCAGACTGATAAACTGCGTCTGCCGCCAGAAGGATTGCTGAGGGCAGTCTTGCCGCAGGTGCAGTGTTTCTTGTGATTATCTACAGCCACATCTGAAGCCTGTTGTATAAAGAAAGCAATTATGCAAACCTGTGATAAATCAAGCAGCTGACCAGTCATTATCTCTGGCTCCCTGTTGATTCTACCTCGTAAATATGAAGGACTTTAGAGGCTAGGGCCTGCTCACTAGAAGAAAGGAGCCCCCTAACCCCTTCTTTAAAACAGATCTTTTTGTCTTTGTCTTCATTTTTGCATTCATCCGCCTTCGTTCAGTCCCGTAGTAACTGTCATAGGTGTGTGTGCACAAGTAAGTGTGTGTGTGTGTGTGTATGCACATGAGACTGAACCAGAGAAGCTCCACACTCAGCTACATCAGGGGCAGCCCAAGACCTGCAGAATATCCCAGCATGACTCATGTCTCCCTGTCCTGCCCCCCTAGCTTCCAGAACACTGCCAGCCAGATAGATCTTATGTAACACCATCCCCCATGCAGAGGACCTGCAGGTTCTACATATTGGCATTTGGGGGCCCCTTAGGAAGGTGACCAGTGAGGCTGACAGGTCCACAATCCCCTACCCATACCCCAAGAACCTTCAGGCTTGCAGAGATTTGAGGAAACCCTCCAGTACATAGAGGCAGGAAACAAAAGAAACAGTGCAGAGATTGGCAGCAGAGGAAGCTTCAGATCTTCAGAGAAAGATGTGTCACCCATGAAACTAGAACAGAGGAGGGAACAAGGACCAGATAATCAGAAAGAATGCTTAGAAATTAAAACATGAAGGCCAAGACGTTAAAGAGTCAAGATTGTCCAGAAATTACCACAGAAGGGGCAGGGCATGGTGGCTCTTGCCTGTAATCCCAGCGCTTTCAGAGGCTGAGGTAGATGGATCACTTGAGGTCAGGCCCGGCCAACACGGTGAAAACCCATCTCTACTTTATTTAAAAAAAAAAAAAAAAACCCAGACGAGGTGGCAGGTGCCTGTAATCCCAGCTACTTGGGAGACTGAGGCAAGAGAATCACTTGAACCTGGGAGGTGAAGGTTGCAGTGAGCTGAGATGGCGCCATTGCATTCCAGCCTGGGCAACAAAAGGGAAACTCTGAATTAAAAAAAAAAAATTACTGCAGTGCTACATCTGCAGCAGGCACTGAAAGCCTCCTGTCCTGGAAGAGTCTCCTGCTTCCTGGACTTTGTCCCACTCTGCCTTTGTCTCCCTTCTCCCCTCTTAGAATCCCCGCTAGCTGGACGCCTCTGCTGACTGAAGCTAGTTATGAACATTGTAAGTCTTTTGTGGATATGTTTTCATTTATCTTAGGTTGGTGCAAAAGTAATTGCAGTTTTTGCTGCAAATTTCTGAGTTAAGCTTATATCTCCCGTACAATTTAGCAGTTGCGCTCCTGGATATATATATATATAGGTACCAATCTAATTGTAGGGGAGATGTAGGCTTAACATAGAAAGATGCTGGACAGTCTCCTATGGGCTTGAAACATTTTGATCTCCCGCTAATGCTTGATTAAATTAACAAACTTAAATTTTTTTAGAGTAGCTTTAGATTCACAGAAACATTTGGCAGAAAGCACAGAGTTCTCACCCACCCTCTCTGCTCCTGCATCCCCGCCAGATCTGTGTTAATGTGCATTCATTACAGCTGATGAACCAAAATGGATCCATTATTAACTAATTGTTTAAAATTGACATTTAGGGCTGGGCACGGCACAGTGGCTCACACCTGTAATCCCCAGCACTTTGGGAGGCCAAGGTGGATGGATCATGAGGTCAGAGTTCGAGACCAGCCTGGCCAACATGGTGAAACTCTGTCTCTACTAAAAATACAAAAACTGGCTGGTCATAGTGGTGCGCACCTGCCATCCCAGTTACTCAGGCTGAGGCAGGAGAATAGCTTGAACCCAGGAGGCAGAGGTGGGATTACAGGCCCTGCACCACCACACCCGGCTAATTTTTGTATTTTTGGTAGAGATGGGGTTTCGCCATATTGGCCAGGCTGGTCTTGAACTCCTGACCTCAGGTGATCCGCCTCGACCTCCCAAAGTGCTGGGATTACAGGCGTGAGCCACCGCGTCCGGCCTAACGAAACATTTTAAATATGTGAATGATTAAAACCAAGAACTCACATTTGCCCACATTTTCAGATACATTTTTATAATGCATTTTCTGTGGAAATAATTTTTGTCTGTGACTGGCTAGTATGCACGTCCAATTCCCCAGCATGCAGAGCAGGGCAGAGGTGTCTGCATGAGGAGGAGGGAGCACACCATCACCTGGACTGGGTAGATACTGACAGGGCTGGCTCTTGGTGAGGGCAGCAGTGGCGTGGATGTCATTCCCTAAGGGACATGATGCACCCTGGGTTTCCAGTTCAAGAAGAGATGCCCTGCTTTTTATGCCAAAAGAGTATAAGCTCTGCTTGGAGGTTCTTTTGAATCTATTACATTAAAAAATACACATTTTTCAAGACAGTAAAAAGACCCATATTATAGCTCAGTGTGCAACACCGACCACGTATATATTTTAAGGCTTACTACCCAGCTTTAAGGATAAATGTTTCCTGATTTACAACCAGCCTCAATTACTTTTGTCTACCTATTTTCTGATCTGTCCTTGACTGTTACCTGTTATCACAGAAATCAAAATTGAAGGCCCACCTATCTCAGAGATGAGATTGTTTGCACAAATCTTGTTGCACAATGGACTAGAGGGTATAGCTAACTAAAAAGAAATCAGTCAGAAGTCTAAAACAGTATAATTTTCATCCCAATATTTTAACTCGAATTTCCAAAATACAGTGAAACAAAAACCTCTGGGAGCAGCTGCCATGACATTTTTACTATTATTGTTAGTTTTTAGGTGGGGGATGGAGGAAGTCTCACGATGTTGACCACGTTGGTCTCAGACTCCTCAGCTCAGGCTATTCTCGCTCTCCTTGGCCTCCCCAAATGTTGGGATTGCAGGTATAAGCCACCATGCCTGGCCAGGATAGGATTTTAATGAACCAAACATAATTTTCTAAAAAATAAAAATAAGAAAAATGTCAGCATAGAAGTATCCAGGCTTTCAATATGGTCTAGTCGAGTTCATACTAACAGTTTCTAAAATAAGTTCAGATTTGATGTAACCACAGTGATGAGATTAAAATTATAAATTCCCCTGGGAAACTGAAAAACTGATCATCAAAGCTCAAAGTTTATGGAGTCATACACTTAGAAAATAAAACCACAGAAATACACAACAATGAAGAGCTGTTTTATTTTTACTTTTAATTTTTTTGAGACAGAGTGTCTCTCTGAAGCCCGGGCTGGAGTGCAATGGCATGATGTTGGCTCACTGCAACCTCTGCCTCCTGAGTTCAAGCAATTCTCCTGCCTCAGCCTCCCAAGTAGCTGGGATTACAGGCACCTGCCACCATGCCCAGCTAATTTTTGTAATTTTGGTAGAGACAAGGTTTCACTATGTTGGTCAGGCTGGTCTTGAACTCTTGACTATAGGTGATTCACTTTCCTCGGCCTCCGGAAGTGCTAGGATTACAGGGGTGAGCCACCGTGCCCAGCCTGAAGAGCTGTTTTATAAAGAAAACAAAAAGATGGCGTGTAAGACTGCATTACAATGAGTAGATTATTTACGTGCATTAGAAAAATAGAACCTAGAGAGAGCAACTGGTAGTCCTCCACATTCTCCTTTACTACACTTTTCCTTGAAAAGCACAGAAGGGTACTATTTGTGAACAGTGTTCTTTGTACAGGATTTTTCAGGAAGCCAGCGCACGCCATCCCATGATCTGTACATGGATTCATGACAGCAATAATTGAAACATGTTACAATTTCCTTTTGTTAAGTCATGGAAAGCAGGCTGGGCACAGTGGCTCACGCCTGTAATCCCAGCACCTTGAGAGGCTGAGGTGGGCGGATCACTTGAGGTCGGGAGTTTGAGACCAGCCTGGCTAACATGGTGAAACCCATCTCTACTAAAAATACAAAAATTAGCCAGGCGTGGTGGCACATGGGACTACAAGTCTCAGCTACTGGAGAGACTGAGGCAGGAAAACCACTGGAACCCAGAAGGTGGAGTTCGCAGTGAGCCAAGATCGCGCCATTGCACTCCAGCTCGGGCGACAGTGTGAGACGCCATCTCAAAATAAAAAAAGACACTCCATCTCAAAAAAAAAAAAAAAAAGTCATGGAAAGCAGCTCAGATGCTGCTTTGCTTTATCACTTTCAGGAAATT